ATGAATGTTAAGGATTGTATGTGAGCGGTGGTGTTGCAATAATAATTGTATAGACTAGGTAGTGATGAGGAATCTCATGGTGGCCGGCCTTTGGCCAAAAAAAAAAGAGGGCGAGTATGAGGAGATGGGACTATGTCTTTTTATCATGGTAAACGAACAAATATTTCAACAAATGGTCGCTTATAATTTGAAGTATTGAAGATGTGTCTTGTGGCTGAATACGTTGTTTCAAGGCGTGTTTGTCTACTTTCTTACCTTGGTAGGCAACTATCTAGCCTCATCAGGCATTATCCTGCCTTTTAATCGCAGGTATCAAGATGCTATTCTTGTCTTGCATCTCGGCATCGTTGCCTGGCGGTTCCAATGCGGCGGACGGCGATAGAGGCCGGCCGGCCGGCTGTTAAAAAAGGTACTGGAGCACTTTGTTTCGTCGGCGGGACGGGGGCAGAAGTGGCGTGTTTTGTCTGATTGGGTTGGGATTACTCCATAAATACGGGCCAAGTTTTTCTTTTGAAACGGCGCTGGAGAAGAACCTCTAACGTCGTGGTTTGAGGTTGGGCCCCCCTTTATTGGGACTGGGGGGGAATTTGTGATTTGCGCCGCAGGTGGGAGTGTGATGAAACAGGCGAGGGGGACGCTTGACTGGCCAATGGGGATGGAGATTAGGCGCTTAGGGGAAAGAAGAGGGTTAGTTCCATGCTTTGTGATGATGGATGCATGTCATGAGATGGATGAAAGAAGGGGGATGTACGAGTATACAGTAAGGGATCATATGACTCATTGGGCATGCATCGTATGGATTTGAATTGTGATGTTGATGTTGATGAATGTCGACGAGAGGTTTGTTGGTTGCGATTGATGGCTGTTGAAGATGAAGTGAAGAAGCGCCTGGACCATGTTCAGACGGAACTTCAAACGCGCTGGCGGGCGGGCTGAGCCTGTAAGATGCCCCAGACGCCCCCATGTCGTTACTCCTGCCGAGCGGCCTGCGCTATGGAAGGCTTTAGCGGGCTTTAGCTCAGGCGGCGCCGGGTGCTGGACTGGATTGGATTGGATAGGCCAGGCACGAGTAGGTTGTTGAAAGCCATCGGCATAGGAACAAGTAAGACGGCCAACTTGCGAGTTAATGCGGACGGACACTTTCTTGCTTGTGATGAAGACGAGGAGGGTGCATAATAGATCCAAGCTTACTGCAGTGTAATAACCTTCCCCTCCCTCTTTACAATTGATGATGAGAGAATTCTCTCTGCCTCGGTAGTTCCCATCTGAGCTTTGGTGTTGAAGAACAAAGCGCACTGAACCTTTGAAGACTGGGGTACAAGCTACCTAGGTATGGGGTCAAAGAAAATCTTCAGCAGTCCAAAACCAGCTCCCGTTCTAGAAATAGACCCTTGTAGTCCTTTGTTTTTGAATTCCCAGTTGAGGTCTTTGTTTCAACGGACCACAAAGGAACCCCCCCCCCCCCGAAAAGGGCACCCTGTATGTTGCATTAGCCGTATGCCGGCGTCTTGACAAGCCGTATCTACATGCATGCACTCTCACGGCATTTCCCCGTCAACTGTCTCCCGTCTCCTCCCATTTGGCCAGCCCCCTCTTCTCAGGCAAAAGGCATTGCTGTTTCGAGCTTTCAAAACCGGGCTCGATACGGGTATTGAAACGACCAGAGCTGTTTCGATCTGAGCTGCACCAGGATCGGCAGGTTGTCACAGGACAGTTGCAAGGGGCCACCAGCGGATCCGGGCGCGGCCTGAACCCGTATAAACGGCAACGAACCTGTAACTCCAGGCGGCTCTTGTATTCCATGCATCTGCTCCGTCCCAGGCCATCAACGAGCTCCGTGCCCATCAGCATCAATTCCCTGCAGCGACCTATCGAGGCTAGGGAACCCGTCTGGCACTTTCAATGGTACAGGCTCTGTCTGCAACCCCCCTTGACTGGCCCTCCTAACCTAGCCCGCCCCCGCTGGCGCTCCTGAATTATTGCTCGTACAAAGCAACCAAAGCTCGCTAACGCTCCTCAGCTGAGCACCTCAAAGATACAAAGACCTTGCTTGGGCCACCCCACTTTGGCCAGCACGCACCTTCGACCCCGCAGCCAGCGACTCGTGCTTCTCGTCAACACACCGAGACTTCCATATCATTTGCCAGAAGCCCGTCCGCTTTGTCTTGTCTTGTCTTTGTCTACTCGTATTCTTATTTCATACATTATCCTTATTCCGAGACTGAGCGCATTATTTTTCGTCTTTCCAACTCCTCTTTCTTCAGCTCCTAAGATAAGCGTTAGCAGCTCTTCTGCATCTACGCGCCCGTTCCTTTTCCCACTTTCTGTTCGTATAGCCGCGATTCCCCTCCCTCTGCCACGACAAGAGCCTCAAACTGACTCTGTCTGTCTAGTTCGCTGAGTGGAGTTTCCATTTAGTTGGCTTATCCGCATATTAGCCTGCGGGCATCGACGAGAATCTCCAACGCATAGCGTACGGAGAGGCCTTTGTTCACCCTTTCCCGCCTGGTGCTGCGTTGCGTTTCTGTACGCTCTCGAGCTCGGACACCAACCTTTAGCCGTTCCCATCACCCGCCCACACCCAACTCCCTCAGCTTCAAGTCGCGCAAAGCGCAAATCCGACCATCATGTCTCGGTCGAACCCCCCCAACAATGCGTCGGCATCACGCAAAATCTCCTTCAACGTCAGCGAGCAGTATGACATTCAGGATGTCGTTGGCGAGGGAGCCTACGGAGTTGTTTGGTAAGTTCCTGCTGATCCGGACTTGCGGTCTGGATGGTGTAACTACGCACGCCGAGATTCTAACAGCATTGGGGCAGCTCTGCCATTCACAAGCCGTCCGGGCAAAAGGTGGCCATCAAGAAGATTACCCCCTTCGACCACTCCATGTTCTGTCTGAGAACTCTGCGAGAGATGAAGCTGCTGCGCTACTTCAACCACGAAAACATCATCTCCATTCTTGATATCCAGAAGCCTCGAAGCTACGATAGCTTCAACGAGGTCTACCTCATCCAAGTATGTCTCCCCGGAGCTCCGCAAATTCACGCTGCCCTTTGTCGGTACATTTGCTTACCATAGAACTTTCGTGCAGGAACTCATGGAGACGGATATGCACAGAGTCATTCGAACCCAGGACCTCTCCGACGACCACTGCCAGTACTTTATCTATCAGACTCTGCGAGCGCTCAAGGCCATGCACTCGGCAAACGTCCTGCACCGAGATCTCAAGCCATCCAATCTCTTGCTAAATGCCAACTGTGATCTCAAGGTCTGCGATTTCGGTCTGGCCCGATCCGCTGCATCCCAGGAGGATAACTCTGGATTCATGACCGAATACGTCGCCACACGATGGTATCGTGCCCCCGAGATCATGTTGACCTTTAAGGAGTACACCAAGGCTATTGACGTTTGGTCTGTTGGCTGCATTCTGGCTGAGATGCTCAGCGGCAAGCCTCTGTTCCCCGGAAAGGACTGTAAGTTGGCACTTATGCCAAGCTCTTTATGCGAGTGAATGCTGACTCAAGACCCTTTCTAGACCACCACCAGCTGACCCTGATCCTGGATGTGCTCGGCACACCGACCATGGAGGACTACTACGGCATCAAGTCTCGACGAGCAAGAGAATACATCCGCTCGCTGCCCTTTAAGAAGAAGGTGCCATTCCGCACCCTCTTCCCCAAGACTTCTGACCTGGCCCTGGACCTTTTGGAGAAGCTGCTGGCTTTCAACCCCGTCAAGCGAATCACGGTGGAGGATGCCCTCAAGCACCCCTACCTTGAGCCATATCACGACCCTGAGGATGAGCCCACCGCGCCTCCGATCCCCGAGGAGTTTTTCGATTTCGACAAGCACAAAGATACCCTGAGCAAGGAGCAGCTGAAGCAACTGATTTACCAAGAGATTATGCGGTAAAATTTTGACCATGATTTTCAGATCTTGATGAAGCACGTTGTTGGAGGAGATTGTTGCAATTCATAAACAAAGGTGAACAAAAGCGGAGGAATTTGCGGAGGACATAGAGCAATGAGATGAGATGAGATTGGCAAAGAAAGGATATCAGTCTTGGCCGGGCCAAGACGAGCGGATAGCAAAGCAAGGAGGAACGAGACGAGATGTGAAACGAATAAATACACTGGCCTCGGATGGCTTCTTCTTTTTTTTTTTTATGCTCAAGTTTTGGTCACTTTTTTGCAGGGAGTCGTTCAATAGCCTGCGCATCTCGACGAATACACGCACATGGTTGATGATGGATATGAAGTCTTTTATTACTTCCTATATACGCAAAGCCACTGAAGTTTATAGGCAGATTAGCTTTACAAGATAACTTTTTATACTACAGCACGAGTATATTTAGCATCAAAAAGGCTGGTCCCGGCCGAGGTGCGGGGCGAGTGTCGCGATCGACATGGGACGGCTTGTTTTCTGCAGTGGCCTGTTGGTCTCAGACCAGGCCAATGACAGCATGATTCGATCTGGCCAACCCCACCAGGCAGAGGCAGAACGGCAGCAAGCTTGGCCCTGTCGACCAGCTAAAAAGCTGCCTGTGACATAGGAGCCCACCTCTGTAGGCCACGCAGGCATTAATAACTTGGTGTCTTACCTTGCGCAGGTACACGCAGCTTTTGCACCTTGGATTCTGATCACGCTCCTGATATCTTTCTCCCCTTCTTTTCTCCTTCGGCATCCTTATCGGCTTCCCTTTTGCCCTAATTCCATGGCCGTCCGGCTTCTATCGCTCGGCTGGCGGGTCTCGTCTTTGGATACATCGTAACTGCTCACGGTTGCTTACCGCCATACCGCAATTGAACAATTTCTGCCAGCATTACCAACCTGGTGCTATACCCTGGACCGGGCTGCTATTACATACTTCTGGGCAGCGGAAGATCAACATACTTCTTGAACCCTCCGGCTTATACCATCAGCTCTAGGGCTGCTTACCACAAGGGGGCTTTTTCCCACGCCAGAGGCCAAAGGCAAAAAAAGAAGAAAGCTGGCAGCAATGTGGACGGGCCTGATGCGGCGCTTCTCGACGGAGGACACCCGCGTGGGCAGCGAGTTTGACGAAGACGCCGAGAGTCATCACAGCCACAGCCACCACCACCACCATCTCAAGGATGGCATCAACGACGTCTACACGCCGACGCTGCGCACGCTGAGCCCCTTCCGGCCGCCGCCGCTGGACCCGGTTGTGCTGCACGGATACAAGGACAACACGCCGGCGGGCTCGAGGCTGCTGACGAATGTGGTGGCCGAGGAGATTCGCACCATGGTGCCGGAGCGGCTGCGCATTACGGAGGACTGGCGGTTGGTGTATAGCCTGGAGCAGAACGGCACCAGTTTGGCGACGCTGTATCAGCGGTGTCGGCAGTATGAAGGCATGAGGGTGGGCTTTGTGCTTGTTGTCAAGGATCAGGAGGGCGGGGTAAGTTTTGTTTAATCTTTCGTTTGCCTTGTTGTGGGAGCTTGGAGGAAGCTGGACTCGGGATATATAGAGACAGTTTTGCTGACTTTGACTTGACTTGACGCAGACGTTTGGTGCCTACCTCTCCGAGTATCCTCATCCCGCCCCGTCCTACTTTGGCAACGGCGAGTGCTTCCTGTGGCGAGCCTCGACGCTGACGTCTCTCCCGCCGCCGCCATCCGCAGACACGACCCATCTGACACGCAGCACGACGCTCGCTCCCCCGTCGCGGTCCGGCGCCTCGACGCCCGGGATCCGCTTCAAGGCGTTTCCCTACAGCGGCCTCAACGACTTCTATATTAACTGCGAGACGGGCTTCCTGAGCGTGGGGTCGGGAGGTGGCCACTATGGGCTGTGGCTGGACGACTCGCTCGACGTGGGACACAGCGCGACGTGCGAGACGTTTGGCAATGAGCCGCTGAGTGACGCGGGGCCCAAGTTTAGCGTTATTGGCGTTGAGCTGTGGGTGATTGGGGCGTGATGAGATTGTATGCCTTTGCTTGAACTACCTACCTTAATTTGCCTGTTACCATGGGATGAGTGCCCTATCTTGGTACATCAATTACCGGAACCTCATTCCTCACTCCGCCCTATTTGATTGCCTAATGGAGACAGATGTACCCAACGCGGGCGAGTGTCTGTCGAGCATGGCTCGAATCCTACGATTCATAATTCAGTTACATAAATGGTGTAAGAAGACATGTCGGAACAGAATCTTGGGTGAGATGGGTGGGAGTGATAATAAGAAGAAACAAAGGGAAGAGAAGGAAGAGGAAGAAAGGAAGCAGTGGAAGAAGACACTCCCTTGAGAAAATTTGATGCCTAGACAGACAGACAGACAGACGCTTTATACTATGATACCCCAGAAAGCCAATTGAATGAGCGCCGTCTCCCTCCTCTATCTTTATTCCGTCTTTGACTTTGTATGTACTCTTACAGTGTGTTACAGTGGCTTGCCAAGATGCCAATGGCCAACATTAGCTCTACCAGTTCTGAATTCCTCCTCCTGCTTGATTTTTCCATCCGTTCTCGTTGCTACTATGCCGGCCCCTCTAGTCTCTTCTTCCGAAAAGCCACTATCCCCTCTAGGATCCCCTCTGGCGTCGGCGTTTCAGCACATACATCAGGCTCGAAATCAAAATTCTTGACTAGGTGAGTTCTCGTCGTGGGTCCAATCGTAGCCACAAACGTCCAGTCATCCCGCCGTCCAGAAAACCTGCCCGTTGAGGAATCTAGCACCCCGAGACCGCGGAGCATGCTATCGCACCCCGTCGGTGAGAAGACGATGACCCAGCGCGAGGGGCTATGCTGCGTCTTGCTCAATATCGCCGCGAAGTCGTCCGGGAACGACGGCATCTCGCCCGTGCCGTAGACGACTTCCTCGACGACGGGGATCCTGCGGTCTTCGGGGAGAGATGGGTCCATCAGCGTGCGGGGGATGATGTCCCTGCGCTGCTCGCCCACGAGGAAGAGCAAGGGGGGCAATTGTCGGGGATGGTCTTTGCGGTGCCACTCGGCGTAGTGGTCGAGGATGAATTGGGCGAGGGCGTCGCCGTTGCCGGTGTGGCTGCCGAAGATTTGGAGGGGAGGGTGTTGGGAGACGGCGGAGAGGGCGCGGGTGGTGGCTGGGCCGACGGAGTAGATGGGGATGTTTTGTAAGTGAGGCCATGCGGGATCATCTGTGACGAGGAATGTTAGCTGGGAGGATATACGACATTATTGAATGAATGTAATGATACGAACCTTTTGATGTTTCGTCTTCTCGGACTACATGCGCGAATGCCTCGACTGCCCTCTGGGAAGTGAATATCAGCCCGCCGAATTCGCAGTCGGGACTGCTCCCGATGCGCTTCTCGCGGAGCAAGTTTCGGAGTCTGTCTACTCCCTTTTCTTCGAATTTGTGTTGTAGGACGGGGACAAAGGTTGGTTCGAAGAGGGGAGTGTGAGAAGGAGATGAGAAGAGGTCTTCGTAGGCGTCGGATGGGCTGGATTTTGTCTTGAGGAGGAGGACCGGGATCGGTTTGTCTTGAGGAGCGGGATTGGAGGATGACATGGTGGAAGCTAGACAAGTACAAGGTGGAGGTTGCTGAGGAGTGTTTGGTGCATGGAATTGAGATTTAATGTCAATGCTCTACATACGGGAAGATGCAATTGAAGCTGTACAGTCACGATGTTGAGCTGCGATGTTGTTGCTAACATCAGACGAGCTTACTGTAAACTAATATTAGAGTGGATGACGATGGCTTGGAGGGGCGGAGGGGCTACCCGCAGCTTTATCGATAAGAAAAAGTGACCGGACTGACGGGTTAGAGGCGGTTCCCGAGGGCTGACAAATTAACGTGCAAGATACTGTATGAATCGATCTTGAGACTATTCCATCTTGATATATCTTTTCCCTCTCAATCATTTCATCTTTGTTGGTATTTTGGCTGCCACTCACAATTTGATTGGGGTGAGTGAGTGAGTGCGAGTGTTGGTTTACGAGCACTACTGGGACGTTCTCCTGCCGACAAAAGGAAAAAAAAGAAAGAAAAAAAGATGGCCGAGGAAGCATCGTTTCGAGACGCAGTTGCGTCTGTTCCAGGACTTTCGGGTGCTTCCGAGTCTGCTGCTGCCGACCAGCAGCCCAAGAAGTTCCCCAAGGGAGTGGTTCTGGGCAAGGATGGCAAGCCGTAAGTATCTGCATCCATCTTCCTCGCATATACCCTTGTGTCTACGCTTGTGCCTTTATCGGCATTGGATATTGGATCTAGTATGGTAACAGTGCCCTGTCTATCTAAAGATGTCGAAGCTGCACATCATTTGCTTCCTGGGCCGCACAGACGAAAAAAGACGTCGCCACCGGTAGCAGAGCAGTATCTACGAGTACAACAGTCGTCGCCTCGGGCCCTCCGGCCGACTGCCCGCCCGACGTCGAGACCCTTGGCCGGAGCACCTGGACGCTCCTCCACTCCATCGCGGCGTCGTACCCAGAATTGCCCTCGCAGGGACAGAAGTCGGACCTGCTGAGCTTTGTCGGGCTCTTCTCTAAGCTGTACCCGTGCTGGGTATGCGCTGAGGACTTCCAGGGCTACATGGCGCGGCAGAAGCCGCAGGTGAACAGCCGAGACGAGTTTTCGCAGTGGCTGTGCCGGGCTCACAACGACGTCAACAGGAAGCTGGGGAAGCCCGAGTTTGACTGTTCGAAGTGGGATGAGCGCTGGAGGACTGGGTGGAAGGATGGCCGCTGCGATTGAATTGCCACGGCCTTTGTCAATGGAAGAATTTGATGTGTACGATATGAAGGGGGAGGAAAATTCTTTTGGAAAAGGGGGAAAGAACAAGAAAATTGTATGATTACTAGGGGGCTGATGCATTGACAGCCATAGATGGACGGCGTTTTTGGGAGCGTTGGGAGTTGGGAATAGGGGCAATAGACAGTTGAGAGATGTCAGGCCGGGCCATGCCATGGTACGAGGTATCATGACTTGTGTGCGCATGGTGGCGAGAGCCTGCGAGCATGCCACGAGAGGAGAGGGAGAAAATCTTTGCTCATACTCGCACCTCAACCTATCGACTTATCAATTCCACTATCAAATTTCGCAATCAGAACTCGTCAACCTGCGACTTCGTATGCATGGACTGGCTTAACTGGTTCCTGGGCCCGGTCGATACCGTGATTGCGGCTGGAGCCCAAAGGCAAAAAACGGGGCGGCGGGCTGGTAATTGACCGGGCGTGGTGCCGAGCAGTTGTCCGATGGAATCTAGATCGGAGGTCTTGGACGTCCATGGATGGTAATTGTCCGCTGAAACATGGCCTGCCCGACGGAGTATATTTTGGGAGTTACAGGGCTCTACAGGGCTCAAAGGCTATCTCTGGCAATCAACAGGCCGGGCTTAGCGTCTGATAGCACTTCTTCAAGTCTCTCCGGGTGCATTAGCGCAGGGAGTGGGCTAAGGCGTAAATGGTTCGAGAGTCGGCATTACATCACTATCATGACAGAGGCGCGTCCAAAGTGAGCTCATGCTTGCCGATGGCACGAGCAGCCTGCATTGGCGGGGCTCCTTCCCATCGCCGGTGCCGCATGTGGGTGTAGAACATCGATGATTCGTTTGCGATGGACGGCAAGTGTTGTCGAGCTGGATTAGATTGGGAGTTACCAACAATTGCCAATTAATATTAATATATCTCTCGTCCTCGTTTAGCCTCTTCTTCCGCAGACATTCATCACATCACATACAATCAATTCATTCTTACCTACGAGCAACACTCTCAATTCGCTCCTAAACTGAAGAGTGCTGGTCACTACAAAACAACCAACAACAAACTTACATTCATCCCAAATAAAAAACAAATACAACTCCTGAGAGGCCTCCTCCAACATGGGTGCAAACATCAACATCCGGGTGCAGAACCTCGAGCAGCCCATCGACGTTGCCGAGTATCTCTTCCGACGACTTCACCAAATCGGCGTCCGCTCCGTCCACGGCCTTCCAGGTGACTACAACCTCATTGCTCTCGACTACCTGCCCTCATGTGGTCTCAAGTGGGTTGGCAGTGTCAACGAGCTTAATGCTGGTGAGTTCTGGCAATGAATACTATCTATACCTCATCAATTGGGACGCTATCTTACTAATTGACTCTTACCTTGTAGCTTATGCCGCTGATGGATATGCTCGTGTCAAGCAGATGGGTGCCCTCATCACCACCTTTGGTGTTGGAGAGCTCTCCGCTATCAACGGCGTTGCTGGTGCCTTCTCCGAGCACATCCCCGTCGTCCACATTGTCGGTTGCCCCTCCACCATCTCCCAGCGAAACGGCATGCTCCTTCACCACACGCTCGGAAATGGCGACTTCAATGTCTTCGCCAACATGAGCGCCCAAATCTCCTGCGAAGTTGCAAAGCTCACCAACCCGGCCGAAATCGCCACTCAGATCGACCACGCTCTCCGAGTTTGCTACATCCGGTCTCGACCTATCTACATCATGCTCCCTACCGATATGGTTCAGGCCAAGGTTGAAGGTGCCAGGCTCGACACCCCAATTGATCTGTCAGAGCCCGACAATGAGCCCGAGAGTGAAGATTACGTCGTCGACGTTGTCCTCAAGTACCTCCGAGCTGCAAAGAACCCCGTCATTCTTGTTGATGCTTGTGCCATCCGCCATCGTGTCCTTGAGGAGGTCCACAATCTCATCGAAAAGACCAACCTTCCCGTCTTTGTCACTCCCATGGGCAAGGGTGCAGTCAACGAAGAGCACCCGACTTATGGTGGTGTCTATGCCGGTGCCGGTTCTTCACCCCCTCAAGCCCAGGAGATTGTCGAGTCCTCAGATCTTATCCTGACAATTGGTGCGCTCAAGGTGTGTATATCCGCTTCAATCTATACTTGCATTGCTCATTTACTAATCTCTTCATCAGAGTGATTTCAACACTGCTGGCTTCTCCTACCGCACCTCTCAACTGAACACGATCGATCTCCACAGTGACCACTGTGTTGTCAAGTATTCGACATATCCAGGTGTTTCGATGAGAGGAGTGCTGCAAAAGGTTATTAAGCAGATCAGCGCCTCCGAGCTCAATGTTCAGCCATCGCCAGTTGTCCAGAACGAAATTCCCAAGGCTGTAGATGACTCACCCGTCATCTCTCAAGCCTACCTCTGGCCACGTGTTGGTCAATTCCTTCAGAAGAACGACATTGTCATCACAGAGACTGGCACTGCCAACTTTGGTATCTGGGATACCAAGTTCCCAGCTGGCGTTACCGCGCTCAGCCAGGTCCTCTGGGGAAGTATTGGTTGGTCCGTTGGTGCCTGCCAAGGAGCTGCCCTTGCAGCAGCCGATGACAACAGCGGCCGCAGAACTATCCTCTTTGTGGGCGACGGCTCGTTCCAACTCACAGCCCAAGAACTGAGCACAATGATTCGCCTCAAACTGAAGCCCATCATGTAAGTTACAACAATCTCGGGCACAATTAACTCTACCAGACAGTCACTGACATTTATTTCTTAGTTTTGTCATCTGCAACGATGGCTTTACCATTGAGCGCTTCATCCACGGTATGGAGGCCGAATACAACGACATCTCTAACTGGGATTTCAAGGCCCTGGTTGACGTCTTTGGCGGATCCAAGACTGCCAAGAAGTTTGCCGTCAAGACCAAGGAGGAATTGGAGAAGCTTCTCACAGATCCCACATTCAACGCGGCAGAATGCCTTCAGTTTGTCGAGCTGTACATGCCCAAGGAAGACGCCCCGCGAGCATTGATCATGACTGCGGAAGCTAGCGCCAAGAACAACGCCAAATTGGAGTAACCTGAACCGACATGAGATTTTATCGGTACCTTATTAGAATAATAGACCTGACAAAGCGAATCAAGGCAGGCACTGATCGTTAATGAAGCAGGATTGGATGGAGGGTTTTCAAAATGATAAAAAACGATACATGGTTTAACAGGATGCTTTATAAATATGAATTTCAAGTTGATATCCCTTTTTAATCATCAGTCTTCAACATTGTGATATGACTTGTGATATGACTTGTGTATAAGACCTATTACATGCGCCAGAGTAATCAAGAGCTCAATCCATAGCTGTAAAATCTGCCTCATGGATTACCTTTACTTTACTGCGTAATCTTGGCACAGAAATGAATTTGAGCTTCTTTTTCTAGTATAAAAAAAATTCTTTACCTGATGTAGAATCTCAAGATCTCATGGTAATTTGTCTCAACGACAGTGGGTGTTCTACGCACGAGATACCTAGTATTCAATCACGTGCTTTCGTGAAAAATGCTGAGAGTTGTCGTGAGTACCCAGCCTTTCTAGTAATTGCAACCAAAATAGATGTACCAAGTACCCACTCACCGTATCTAATCGCGAGCCTCAAATAAGCTGTGCCCAGCGCTGCAAGGCTCATCAAACTTTCATAAAAAGAGCTTCAGATCATCATTTAACCCATCCATATTCGAAACAAACCGATCAATTGAGATGGCAGATTCCGCATCAAAAAGAAAACAGGGCCCTGGTGGTCCTGACGGCTCTGCGCTGAAGAAGAGAAAGGTATGATGATGAATACTTTGTATTACACATTGAAAGGAAAACTCTTGCCTCGTGTTTATGGCTCTAGAGATGTTGACATTGGAATTATCAATGTAGGAGGGTGCAGCTGGGAGATGGAAAACGCCGGCTCAAAAGGCAAAGCACGCTTCTTGGGCGGAAATGGGCAAGACGCTTGAGGTGGGCGATGAGGGCATCTGGGTTACCTACGCAAGGGGCATGAAGGGCAAGGCAGTTCGAGAGTTCAAGGCCTTGTGTGACGAGTACGGCGAGAAGCTGTACGGCATCAAGCCGCCGGTTGACGAATCAGAGCCGAAATCAGGAGACGAGGACGAAGACATTGAGGCGTCCATCGAGAAGGAGCTCGAAGCCATGAAGGCGCCCAAGCAGCCCCAGCCGAGAGGCGTCTTCTCGCCGGTGTCTGTCGCGATAGAGTGCGTCTTCTTCATGAAGACGATGAGGCCGGTGGATCCTTGTCAGCTGGTGCTCGAGATTTGCAGGGACGCGAGGGGGTGCGAGAGTGCGAAGGATCGCAAGTGCAAGTATATTAATCGGTTGACGCCTGTGGTGGATACGGAGAAGGCGAGTGAGAAGGGGGTGCAGAGGGTGGCGAGGAAGGTTCTGGCGTCGTTTTTTAGCTTGAATGAGGAGGAGAAGGGGAAGGATGAAGAAGAGGATGAGGAAAAGAACTCGACCGAGGAGGTGAAGGAGGCGGCTGAAGAGGCGGGGCCGGAGACGGTGACTCGAAATGCTGAGACAGACGCTCCTTTTACAGTAAGTTGTGCCCAACTGAGAAGAGACTTTCTTTTCTTTGTTCGAATGAGACTTGGCTAACTGGAATTGATGCCCTAACAGTACGCTATACGACCCACGATGAGAAACCACTCCATCTTGGAATCACAGGCCGTCATCAAAATGGTCGCCGGCATGGTCAAGCCTGAGCACAAGGTCAACCTCAAGAACGCAGACAAAGTCATTCTCGTCGAGATATTCCAGGTTTGTCCAACATCCCATGAGATAAAACATGTGTGAATCGCTGACTAACAATGGTGCTAGTTGTTTTGCGGCGTCTCTGTGGTCGATGGCAAGGAATGGGAGGAGCTGAAGCGGTATAACATCAATGTGCTCTATGGTATGGCGGGGGAGCAGAAGAGCGGCAAGGCTGCGAAGCCTGCCTCGGAAGATTAAGCTGTTGCATGAGGTTCAGTGTGTCTAGTTCACTGGAGATTGATAGAGGAAAGGTAGATGAGCATTTACATTCTAATGGACCAACCGGGATTCGGAGGCGGTCTTTGATATGGCTCTTTATATACTATTGCTACATCATATTCATCACTCTCATATTGTACATATTAAAACAGGTTCCCAAGCCTTGGTATTCCTGGTGTTTAGCATCAAAAAAGTAGAGTGTATCAACAAGATTCAATGGCATAACTTGCACCGCGCCACCTGAACTATCGCCCATCATCCGCGCCTTCGCTCCCACTGTCTTCATCACGGGGCAGCTGGAACCCCATGAGCCCCATGAGATTTCCCGCAGGGCCAGCCATGCCTCCCTGGCTCTTGAAACTCTCGAGAAGATTCTTGGCCAGGTTGTAGTCGATGTCGACTTCACCATCCTCATCATCGGTAGAATCTGCCGCATAGCCGCTTTCCCCTTGTAGCGGCTGTTTCTGCTTCTGCTTGCTCTTACTCTTCTCCTTCTCCTTCTCCACGCTCTCCTTCGACTTTATCGCGCGCTCGGTAGTTGGTGGATCGAGCTGGAGGGTGCCGTACTCTTTGAGCTCAGCTTCCATACGAGAGGCGAGCTCTTGTATGTCTTTGTCTTCTTCTGCGTCGCTGTCGGTGCGATCCTCGGCCGTTTCAACCTTGCGAGCCTTTCCTCTTTCTTTAGGGTTTGCTGTAGCGATGCCCATCATTTCTTTCATCATGTTGGAGAATGCCTCCTCATCGAAGCTCACCTCCTCATCTTGATCTTCTTCATCGTCCTCGTCATCATCGTCGACGTCCATCCTATCAAGCTCAGCACCATCCAGACCCGCAGCGTCATCGTTGAGGAAAGCCTCGAAGCGCGAGACAATCTTTCTCAGGTTCTCTTGTGTCTGAGCCTCGCCGAAACCAGATGCCGCCTTTGAAGAGGACGCATGAGCTTGCTTCCCTTCTAGTTCGCGCTCAAAGTCTTCATAATTAATGTCAAGCCACGAATCGTCGTCGTCCCGACCAGCGTTTTCCCATAGCTTTATATCTTCATTCGATGGCAAACATGAACTTCCATCCTCTTGTAGATCCTCCAACATGATGGCCATCTCACGGACGACTCTGCTCTTGCTGCTCTCTGCATTGGCTGCAAGCATCTCAAATCCACATGTAAGTTTCATGCCAGTCTCTAAATGTTCGAAGTTTTTCTGGTCCTCTTTTGAAAGCTGCTCCACCTTTGTATTTTTCCGGAGCAGGGCCTCCCACCTTGGTGGTGTGTCGAATCTTTGGGACTTGAGCTGAGCAAAAAGGGTTTTGCTGAATCGTAAACTGACTGTGACGAGATCTTCTGGTGGAAACTGCAGAGAGGCCGATGAAGATAGAATGGGCTTCAGCGAGTTGGCATCTCTCAAGTAAAAGTGCTCAACGGCAGGGGCAATGATCTTTGGGAGAGCATGTAAAATGTAGGCTACTGCCCTGGGGATCGTGACAAGAGCATGGTGGATGGAATTGGAGATTTGATCCGGATACTTTTTCAATCTGTGAAATGCTTCAGAATCGATAGCAGGGAGATGAACAAGGGCGTCCGTATTTGATCGTAGAAATGTGACGGCCTGTAGGAGGGACAATTGTTCAGACTCGTCTCTACCCTTGAGGCTGAGAGGAATGAGAAAGATCTTTCCAAGATGTATCCATACACGGTAGCGATCAATTTCCGGGCTCAGCCACCTAGGAAGCACATTGGCCGCTTCGACCAGGAGGAATTCTCCATCAGAGTCTCCCACTCGAAGCCAGAGATCGGGATGGGCTTTGGTCAGTTCACAGAGAATGTAGACAATGAGCCATTCATCCTCAATGGCATCTCCGTAGTCAGTGGTGCCATGCAGAAATAGCAGTCCTAGAGATAAACAGTTAGAGCAAGCGTTAAAGAAATGAACTGCGATTGCACCGCCAAGGGGGTGCTGTAGAGAGACTCACCGTGTTCGCTTTTCAGCGAAATCTCAAACCCCTCACGCTGCCAGATGTAGTCTTTTGTGAGTGACTGAACCAGCTCAACCGCTGCTTTCCGAATAGTTTCAAGGTGAGTTCGTGCTTTGCGAGCCTCGGATTGCTGGGTCTCCACGACAAAGAGCATGTACTCGACGGTGTTTTCAGAGAGCTGCTCTACGGCAGTTTCCGTCTCGCCGACATTGCTGTCGTTGGACATGCTTTATCGCGAGGAGGGGCACCAGCACTGGGTTGTAGTCATCCGCATGGCGAAAAGATCAATATTAATAAGACATCAAGTGTTGAGTGTAGCTGGAAGATATGTAAGTTTGAGATGTAGGGCTGTCTTGATTTAGGCCCCACGCTGGCAGGCTCTTATACACCCGCCTATCAAAATTCTTTCAGGGCTGGCCACTGTATAACACCTACAGTTTGGCAATTACAGAGATGCACATTTGGATTTCTCCTCGAGTATCCTGATTTGTAACTGTATTGCACAATGGTAAATGATATATACACAGATAAAAATACAAGTCATGTTATTAAAGATAACACATTCGAAGCTCATCATGGATTCACAGCCATGGATGTACATGCCTGTACCAGTAGCGCATGATGGGCGCCTTAGTCATGCCCGCTGTTTAGCTGCCTAACTGCCGAGCTGCTTTACCCCACGACGCGCTCAACGCGGTCAACGCGCAAGAACAAATTAATGGACTTTGACAAGCCTCATCGCATCGCTTATCGGCCAGAGGAGTTTGCAGGATGCATGCAACAGTGAGATGGAGCCCTGCTAATGTGTTAATGTAATCAATACTCTTCAATCATCGAGCGTCACATCCTTCCAGTCTTCCCTTGCACTTCCCAATCTGTGTGACTGGCGACAACCCGCAAACCACCATCGGCCATGGCGCCCCTCAAGCGATCACGAAGAGCCTCAGGCCAACAGGATGAAATCACAGATGTCACTGAAGCGCGTGCATCAATGGCCAATGGCATGCAGCCGGTATGTATGTTAGCATGCTGGGCAATCATTAGTTGGCTAACCGCGGGCGGCAGAGAAAACGAGTCCGGTTATCCGCTGATGACAGAGCAGAGGGTTCGAGCAGTAGAGCAGCAGAGACAAGACGAGACGATGGTTCATCTAGTTCCGAGAGCGAAAACGACGACGGAGATGACGATGACGACGCTCCGGCGTCTCCCCCGCAGACACAATACGAACTTATGAGAGACAATGGCTTTCGACACCTTCAGCATACGGATTGGGACGACCAGCAAGCTACGCAGAAGCTGATGCGCCGCACCACGACACAGACCCTTGACAACAACATGGTCGCCGAGAGTGGCATCATTGAAAGCATCACCTGTTACAACTTCATGTGCCACGAACGATTGCATGTGGAACTTGGTCCCTTGATCAACTTCATCGTGGGAGAGAACGGCAGTGGCAAGAGCGCTGTCTTGACAGCCCTAACACTATGCCTTGGTGGCAAGGCTAGTGATACTAACAGAGGTGGTAGCTTAAAGTCCTTTGTCAAGGAGGGACGTGAGCAAGGAAGTCTTGTTGTCAAGATCAAGAACGCTGGAACCGATGCATACCAACCCGACATCTACGGACCATCCATCACCGTCGAACGCCATTTTTCCAAATCTGGCAGCAGTGGCTTCAAGATCAAGACGGACCAGGGCAAGGTGGTCTCAACCAAAAAGCAGGAAGTTGATGAAATCTCGGAGTGGTATGCCTTGCAGATAGGGAACCCCCTGACAGTCCTCTCCCAAGATAATGCGCGACAGTTCCTCAACGCCGCAACCCCAGCGCAAAAGTACAAGTACTTCGTTTCTGGTGTCCAACTGGAACAACTGGACAATGACTATAAAATGTCTCAAGACACGTTGGACAAGACGCTCATTCTCCGCGAGGATCTCAACGAGAAGATAGGCCATGTCAAAAAGGAAATGGACGATGCCCAACGACTTGCTGAGATAGCCCAGAAGAACCAGGGCCTTCGCGAAAAGGCAAGGCACTATCGAAACCAGCTTGTCTGGTCACAGGTTGTCGAGCGGGAAAGAGAATTAGAACAGCGCAATGCCGACTTGAACAGGCGCGACGAAGAGCTCATTTCCTGGGAGGCGGACTGCGAAAAAGCGACAGAAGCCCTTGCAAAAGAGGAAGAGAAGCTGGCTCGGGTTCAAGAGGCCCGAGAAGCTCTCGGCAATGAAGAAAACACGTTTGAAGAGACAATGTTGGAGGCAGAGGCTGCGTGGAATGACGCCAAGAGGAAGCAAACAGAATTGCAGCGCGAAGAGCGAGATGCTCATATGCGGTTGAAGACTCTTCGGACAGACATACAATCCTGTGAGAGTAAGATCAAAGAGGAAGAAAAACGCTTAGACGGCGCATCGGGCTCTGCACGCGCACAGAAAGACCAGGAGCTCTCCGAGGCACAAGCGCAGGAGAAGAGAATAAATGAAGACATCAGTGAGGCCAGGGCCCGGGCACCAATGTATTCCGAAAAAATAAACGCAGCAAAAGAAGCGGCAAAGCGAGCTAATGAATTGCTGCAACAAAAGAAAAAGGAGGTAGTGATGGCGCAAAGGGGGGTCAAAGATCTCGAGCAGAGCAGCGGCTCAGCCCTTGATGGATATGATGCAGACCTCATAAGACTGGCCAAGGCCATTGAAAGGGAAACCGGTTTCGAAAGCAAGCCGCTGGGTCCCCTTGGCACGCATGTTACCCTCCGAAAGCCTGAGTGGTCTGGCATCCTCGAAAAAACTTTTGGTGAGAATCTGAATGCATTTGTCGTGCAGAGCAAGAGAGACCAAACAAAGCTGTCAAATCTGATTCAACACATGGGCCTAAGGAAACAGCCGCCAATCTATATCGCGTATGGAGGCACAATTGATACCAGCGCCCAAGAGCCAGATCCCGAATTCGACACCATTCTCAGAGTGCTGGCATTCGACAATGAGCTTGTTCGGTCGCAGCTTGTTATCAATAACCAGATCGAAAAGGTCATCTTAGTCAAGGACCGTCTTGAAGCGGAGCGAGTAATGATCGATAACAACGGTCCTCCTCGAAACGTGGTGGCTTGTATCTGCTTCCACGACGGCAGAGGGAAACGTGGTCATGGACTGAGAATCACAAACCGTTTCGGAACCATAGGCACAAGTCCTGTTACACCGACTAACTTGGCCCCTCGAATGCAATCAGATTCTGCTCAGCGGCTTCTTGTACAAAAGGAGAACCTCAGGCAACTAGGCTTGGAAGTGAAAGATCTAATAATCGAGGAGCGTCAGGCGCGTCAACAGTTGGAGGCCTGCGAGGCTGACCTTAAAGCGCATCAAAACAAACTCAAGGACTTGGAAAGGGATATCCGCCGAATCCAGGCGGATATCCAGCGGATATCACTGGATCTGGATGCGTTCGAGGGCGTTGACGGGCGTCTTGTGGCGCTGCGGGAGGAGCGAGAGGCGAAACAAACTGAAGAAGAGCAGCTTGGTCTGCAGTACGGCAACCTGAAACTGGAAAAGCGAGAACTGAGCAAGAAGGCGGAAGAGGCTAAGGCACGTCTCGATGCTGAAAAGGACGTTCGCAAGGATCACCAAAGCCGCGTGGCCAAGGCAGAAGACAAAGTCAAGAAACATGAGTCGGTTAGGAAGATTGCAGTCGCTCAAAAGAATGCCGCCTTTGAGAGGCGGGATATCGAGATAAACGAGAGGCGGCGGGCAGAGGCCAGGCGCGACCAGAAGATTGCTGAGGTGGCCGACTTCATCCAACAAGCCGAGCAAGTATCTCCAGATCGCGTTCATATCCCTGAAGACGAAACATATGCAAGTCTCGAGATCAAATACCAGAAGGTTCGCGAGCAGCTAGCACAGCGAGAGGCTCGACAAGGAGCCACAGACCAACAGATTTACGAGCGAGCTGTCGAGGCCAGAACGCGATACGAGGATGTGATGAAGAAGACGAGAGACGTGGATGACACCATTGCGAGCTTGAAGCAAGCCATCGAACACCGACTTCACCTATGGAGAATGTTTCAGAGACAAATAAGCGCTCGGATACGAATCCAGTTCAGTTATCTATTGAGCGAGCGTGGGTTCAGAGGCAAGATCGACATTGATCACCGGAACAGGAAGGTAAACCTCCAGATTGAGCCCGACAAGACACGAAAGAGCTCGTCTGGCCGCAACACCAAGACGTTATCGGGAGGCGAAAAGTCATTCTCTTCAATATGCATGCTTCTCTCCGTGTGGGAAGCCATTGGATCACCAATACGATGTCTGGATGAGTTTGACGTCTTCATGGATAATGTGAACCGTGCAATTAGCACAAACATGCTGGTAAGTCATTTACTGCGGATTTACAAAAAAGGGAAATGTGACTTGAGAGTGAGCTGCTAATTGAATGGTATTACAATACAGGTGGATGCTGCTCGACGATCAGTATCGCGGCAATACATCTTGATCACCCCGAATGCTATTGAGGGCCGAGCCAGGCTGGATAAAGATGTCAAAATCATTCGGTCAGTTCCATTGGCATTCGAACCTTTCTGGCGAATTGTGATTTTTATGGCTAACTCTCTACTCTATCTTACAGCTTGACCGATCCCCGCCAACGAACCCTAATCTAGAGTCAGAGCCTGCCACGTATGGCCGGGCTGTGAGTATATTTCGTGGGCGAAGTGTATTAGAGGGTGTGTGCAATATTTCTGGGACGCTGCTTCATTCGTGGGCTGTAAAAACAATAGGCGAATGTGTATATACATGAAACGGTGGCGAGCAAACTCGTCGGGAGTTGGGGAGCCTTGAGATGCTGATACTATTGTACATGATTCTTATGACTTGATTTAGACAGGGATGAGGATGTGGCTTAATGCGGATTGTGTCTAGAACGTCAGATAGGGACGCCCTTGCTTCTCAAGACATTGACGCCTGCATTGAGGGTGAAGCCAACCCATTGGCCTACGGCTCCCACAGTGCCCCCCACGGACTGGACCTCGCCCAGCCTTCGATGCAAGAACTGTCTTGTCTCGAGAAAGGACGGTGATCTGTCGTTGGTCATGAAGAGCTCACTGGAGCTGTATACCATGGAGAGAGCCGCCCGCTTGGTGTACCAGGAGGGATCGACGGCCTTGTCGCCGGCCAGGAACCAGATGTCGTCAGACAAGGCAGCCAGCTCAGCCAGCGACTTGGGCAGATAGCTGGGCTGCGCCATGATGGCCAGGGCCTGCAACAATAGCGCACACTCGGGTCAGCGAAACGCGCCAATGGGTGCGGTGTGTCTCACGAAGCAGACACGAACACGAACAACTCACCTCCTGCCATCTGTGTATGATGTCCCTGTTGCCCACCAGCCGCTCCCACGTCAAGGCAGCCACCTTGTCGCCCACGCTGGTCAACGAGTCATCCTCGAGCAGCTCGCGGCTCCTGTCGGCCAGTCTCTCGCGCTGGGCGACCAAGTGGTAGTGTATCAGGCTGAACTGGCCGTCGGGCAGGATGCCGGAGCTGATATCAGGGTAACCAGCGTCGCGAGCCCCGAGGCCAATAGCGCGCAGCGAGAAGCCGTGCTCAGGGACGTGCTTGTAGGCGGCGGCCAGGATTTCCCTGTCGACGGGCCCGAACGGCGGCGTCGACGGGTGGTCGTACGAGTGGTAGTGCTGCTGGCGCCGGCAGAGGGACGAAGGAGACGAGGCTGGCGTAGTCGCAGTCTTGCGAGCGATTGGGCCGCGGGCGGTCGAGGCCAGGCATCGTGCGGCGCGAGAGATGCAAGGGGAGGCCATTTTGGCGATTCGAGGAGGAATGAGCTGGCTTCTGGCTCTGGCTTTTTTGGCTTATGCCTATGCTATGCGACCAGGCGATTGCTGCGTGATTCTTATTGACTGGTTGTGCGAGGGGCTGTCTGCAAACTTTCAACTCGACTGAGAGCAAAGAGTGGATCCCCGGCGTGGGAGGCTAGATGCAGGGTGCTTTGCTTTTTTTGGGGGCCAGTTTACGGGAGAGCCATTGATACCTATGAGAATGGCCAGTGTGTCGTCTTTGCGGTATCTTCGACGTAATAGATATGAATACTTGTTACTGTGCGCGAGCCAATTGGCCATCTGGGCTTGCGATTGCGCATTATCTATGTGCTGTACGATGCACAGGTTTCTGGCCATAGGTCTATTCATAGCATTGTTACACAAAGGAGGTCTTGTATGTATGTAGCTTATGAGGCATCGCATCAATCACATCGCATCGCATCCTCACCGGGTGGGTTAGTCATCCCGCGGCCCTCATTGGGTTTGCCCAGTTGCCAGGGCCCAGCCTTCGGAAACACCCCCCGTCTGTGATTGCATCATGCATCCGGGAGAACAACTCAACAAACCAGAGCTGCCAGGTTTAGGAGCGACCAGGCGAAAGGCAGTTGGCCAATCAATGCCTGGTGGCAGGCGATATGGCCGGGGGGCTGGGGGCATGTCTGCCGCAAAACACGCCAGCATATTAGAGGGCCTACAGGCACAGCACGAGCACATCAAGTCCCATCCCATGGGCTCCATTGCACACAATGCCGGGCCGATCCCAGCCAGATGCTTGGGCTGCCACCGGTGCTTGGGTCTGTCGTTCTCGGGCGCAGGTAAGGTCGGTACAGGTATTACTGGCAGTGCCGATACGAGCAAGGGGCCCAGGCAAGGTGGGATCTGGAGCCGATGAACGGGCAGTCGTACATAATACCACCGGCTGAATTGAATTGAGGATCTGGAGCTTAACCCACTACCCTGAAAATGCCTTAGTCAGGCACGGTGACTCTCCATTCGAAAATTGATCTCCAGCTCTCTGTCCAGCTGCGCGCGTGCAAGCTCTAAAGCTGGTCTGCTAGTAGGCCTAGTAGTAGGTTAGGTTAGTCGCTGAACTGATGTGCTCCCCCCTCACCGATCTTCTCGGGTAGGGCACCTTAGCCATCCTGTTAGTGCTCTTGCTCCGCTGTTCCCGCCCTGCACCTTATTGAGCCGCCTCAGCGATCAGTGCTCTAGCACAGGCTGCTAGCAGTGCCATCGATTCAAGCTTTGGTGCCTTTTGCTGCTAAGCCCACACGTGCTGCCGGCCTAGAACTTGCCCTTCCGGCCTTCTTCTCTCCTCTCTCCTCCTGTCCTCTTCCTCTTTCGCATCCAATCCGATTCCCCTGCTCCATCCTCGTACATTATTGCACCAGACGGCACTCCGAGGCCGCCACTTTTTGCACACTCCAGCCCGCGAAAGCCTCCAATAGGGATCGCCCCCGGCTGCCCCGGCCACACGAGTCCGTTCCCGAGCAAACGACCAAGGAGGAGAAAACTCTACTTTTGTCCCCTTCGACCCTTGTCCCCTCATAGGGCCGGGTGTGGGAGCTTCCCTGAGCACTTTTCGCCCATCCATCTGCGCGGTCCCCGGAACCGAGCCCATACGCTGTCACCTACATAGTTTTTCTCCTCCCACGGCCAACTGTCCGACCCAGACCGGCATCGTTTTTTTCCCCGGGCTCAATCCACGCTAAAAGCTTGGGAGATAACCACATCAACGTACGTACTGTCCTCCTGGTGGCCACACCTCCCACGCAAGGCCGCTGCAAAGCTGGACGCAATGAGCGACGTGCATGCATCCAACTCGCCTTTGTTGCTACCCCATGCTGCGTGAAAGTTCGCTGCTGGCCTGACCTGGCTTTTTGCTGGCGGGCTCTCCCACTCTCTCCCATCTCCCACCAGCTCGGCCCACGAGCCAATGCTGCCGACCCCCCTGCCACCCATCACCATCACCTTTGACCGGGTTGTTGTTGCTTTGGGATTTTTTTGTCCTTGATTTTCATTTTTCATTTTTTCAGTTTTCTTCTCTCTCTCCTCTCCCCAGCACAGCATCTTTCCTATCTACCTATTACCTACCAGTTCACCTACCAAGTAGTGGGTTAGTTTTTAGTAGTAGCCTGGTACTGGAACCTTGGCTGTTGGCTAGATCCTTGATACTGTGCTCGTTCCCCAAGCCGTGCTGATACAGAGAGCACTGTACTCACTCGTACGAGCTTCCCGTGGAAAAAAGCAATCCATTGATCCATAGCAGGATCTGCAGCTCTAGCTACTCCCCCCTGCTTCCACTTTCCATCAACCTGCTCTAGCTCTGGTGCCTCGTCGTGCCTTGCAAGGTACTTGTTTCTCGCTGCGCCGGTTTAGGTAGTAGTAGTCACAGCTCTGCATCTTGGCCCCCCTCCGTCCTCCCTCAGCCTCTGCACGCTCATTCGTCGCCTGGTCCCCTCCCGGTCCGCGCGTTCTTTTCCCCTTCTCACCACCAGGCTTGAACAATAACCATGCGCCTCTGTCCTACCCCCCTCCCACTCCCAATTGCGACTTACTGGTACTGTACGAGTTACTGCACTGCAGCCCGCTCGCTCGCGTTCCAATTCTGTTGCTGACTGCTGCTGTGGCTTGCCCTCTCTCCAGAAGCCACCCATAATTCTGCCGTCGTCGCGACCTGGCTCGAGCTGCCCTCCAATCTGTTGAGACACCCGGTTTGCCTTTGACTGCACCAGCTGCCACGCGCGACAAGGCTCAAGGCACAAGGCACAAAGCCTCTCTCCTCCTTTGTATCGCATAAACCGCCATGGGTACGTCTTTTCTCTCTCGGCTCCCTCTGCTCTGTCTATATCTCTGCCTCCATCTGCCGGTTCGATCTCTGCTCGACTCGCACCAAAGCTCTCTCGCTCTTTTTGCTTTCTGGCCAAGACGCGTGCTGCCAGCCTCGGTGCCGTCACTGACGCCCGGCTGAACTTTTTTTTTCCCTTCCAAAACAGCTCTGCCTTGCTTTGCCTTTGTCTTTTATTTCCCCTTCCCTACCTGAAAACTCTCCGAAAAGAGCAGCCAGAGGACGCCTCTGCTTCATTCAACGTGATACCACTTTGGATGTAACTTGTCGCCCCCGTTGCCGGCCGATACGTCTCTTCTTCTCGACTCGCCTCTCTCCGTCCACTGCATTATCATTGACCCCCCTTACCTGCATGTGCTCCCGCCTTGCTACTCCGCATACTTCTCATCACTTTACACCCCACCACTACCCGGGTACATGACTATTATTTCAATCATGCCGTTCTTTTCCTCCATCTCTTTTGGCACAATTTCCTTTTACTTTGAGGAGGGCTCTTGCAGCGCCAGTTTTCTAACCTTTGTCTTTTAGCTGACTCCGGCGATAACTACCGACCGGTAAGTTTACATCATTTACTTTGACCTACCCTTTCTCCTACATACACGCATTTCATCACTTCTCGCCTTGGTGCGAACCCACCAACTTCCTGTGGCCTCGCGCCTTGGCCTCCTTGAACAAAAATCCTACGACACCACCCCGCAGCGGCCACCTTGTTTCCTATGCCCTATCCCACGGGGAGAGGCGTCGCCAGCAAGAGTCAAGTTTGCGGTACGAAGCTGTCGTTGGATTGTGAAGCTTGTCTGCTCAATTGCCCGGCCGTGGCAAATGCCCAGCTTGGATTGAATGCGCTGTCTTCTTTGTTGGGGAGCCATATATAATGGCTACCTACCTATGAAAACAGGCCGAGTGTCACTTTGGGCAGCCCGTGGCTCGACTGCATTCCGGATAAACCATTCATCTAGCCTAGCCTAACCCTACCAACGTCACAACTCACACTATCTTGTCCTGAAAACGTTTGTACTGATCGGCCCACAGCGTGAGAGGTCTCGATCACCTCGGCGACGATCTAGGAGTCCAGGCCGACAGTCTCGTCGGCGGTCTTATTCGCCTCGCAGCAGATCAAATAGTCGGGACGACTATCGACGGGGCCGCGATCGCTCCCCAATGACTGGAACAGGAGCTGCACCAGCTGGTGGTCCCACTGGCAATTACGCGGGACAGCAATCCCATCGATCATACGAAGAACGGGCCGCAGCCCGAGAGCAGATGATGAGCAACATCCGAGAGACGTCCCAGCAGGACCGCCGCGTCTATGTCGGCAATCTCTCATACGACGTCAAGTGGCATCATCTCAAGGACTTTATGAGACAGGGTGAGATCAGGACTCTACGAATATGGGCATGGTGAAAGGATCAAAAACTGACCAGGGATACCCCAATGTTACAGCTGGAGAGGTACTCTTTGCCGATGTACTATTACTTCCAAATGGAATGTCGAAGGTGGGCTTCATCGCGTAGCTTTGGTTGGCTTTCTTTTGTAGTTTTCTTCCCTTTCTGGTTTTGATGGATGGTTGGGTTGACGGGTTGGGACGTTGTCCTGGGAATAATTGTAGGGATGCGGGTAAGTTTCTCTCTCTTGAATCCTGTTGCGGCACCTGTCTTTTCATTGTTTGCTAATTGCTGGTGGTAACAGAATTGTGGAATATGCTACAAGGGAGCAAGCTCAGCAGGCTGTTACTCAACTCAGCAACCAGAACCTAATGGGTCGCCTTGTCTACGTTCGAGAGGTAGGTGAATCCCGATGCTAACGCATGTAACCTGGCGCCGACGGTTTGGTTTTCTAACGTTTTAATCATCAGGATCGCGAAGCTGAACCTCGCTTCATCGGCGCTACGGGAACCAGCTCCCGCGGCGGATACGGTGGTGGTGGTGGTGGTGGCGGCATGCCCGGCGGAGGATTCAACGCTGGATATGCTGGCGGTCCCCCCGGCGGTGGTGGTGCTGGTGGAGGCGGCGGTGGCCGCCAAATCTACGTTGCCAACGTCTGTTCACTCAGTCCGTGATGTGTCGTGAGAGTATCTTAACTGACTCCCCTTTTAGCTCCCCTACAATGTCGGCTGGCAGGACTTGAAAGACCTTTTCCGACAAGCAGGTAAGTTGGCCGCTGCTTCATCGAATAGTTGCATCATCAAGTGTACCGTGGCATTAACGCTTTCGTGCAGCCCGAATTGGCGGAGTGATGCGTGCTGATGTGCACGTCGGTCCCGACGGCAGACCTAAGGGTTCAGGAATCGTCGTCTTTGAGAGCCCCGACGATGCACGGAGCGCTATCCAGCAGTTCAACGGCTACGACTGGCAAGGCCGCATGCTCGAAGTTCGCGAAGACCGCTTTGCCGGTGGCGGCGGCATGGGCTTTGGTGGCCGTGGAGGATACGGCGGCGGCATGCGCGGTGGTTTCGGCGGCGGCTTTGGAGGTCGCGGCGGCTTCGGTGGACGTGGAGGATTTGGCGGAGGCTTCGGTGGACGTGGGGGCTTCGGCGGCGCTGGAGGACCTGGTGTAGGTGCCGGGGGTGGTGGCGACTTCGGTGCTGCCGCTCCGCCAACCGTACTCCCCAATCCCTTCACCGATAACGCAACTGCCGGCACGGAAAAGGGCGAGATCATATACGTTCGAAATGTAAGTTCTGATCGCTCTCCAATGCACCGTCTGTTGGGCCGGTGCTAACACGCGCTATAGCTCCCTTGGTCGACTAGCAATGACGACCTAGTCGAGCTCTTTACGACGATTGGCAAGGTGGAACAGGCCGAGATTCAGTATGAGCCTAGCGGCAGATCTCGAGGCACCGGCGTGGTTCGTTTTGACTCTGCCGACACTGCTGAGACGGCAATCGCCAAGTTCCAGGGCTACCAGTATGGTGGTCGACCGCTCAACCTGAGCTTCGTCAAATACCTGAACCAGCCCGGAAGCGACAGCATGGAAACCGACGCTCATGCTGGCTTGACACAGGACCAGATCATGTAGGAGATCTCGGTTTGAGTCATCTCAGCCTGACTTCTTTTGACTCTGGGTTTCGTTTTCTTTTGACACATGATCTTTCGCTGGGTTGTTCTTCGCTTTTTTTTCCTTGTTCACTTCTTATCACTTTCATTTGCACAGTTCGTCTAGGGTTACTGAAAATTTGATTTGCGGACATGCTATATTTAAAGTCGTGGGGGATTCTATTTCAATCAAGGGGCATCACTTCATCGAAACCAGCTCTGACTGGCCGGGTAGGATGCCACTCTGGAAGATGAGGGGCAAAAAGAAATTGAGTTTTTATGTCTTTGGGTCTGGCAAGGAAATGAGCAGCAGAAGGTGGTGACCGTGGTTATTGAGTTTCTTATTCCTTTCTCTATCTCGGGTTCTCGAAGCGGTGCGTAGGAGAGCGTGGTGAAGATGCGTGTTTCAAGCGTGACGTGATATTGCGGATTGGATGGGCGGCGAAGGATGCCACCCTTATAGAACCTAACTGCCATGGCCTTCTTTAGCCTGGAGTTTGAGACCTAAGCGTAGGAAAGAACAGGAGATTGGGCGGTATAATGACTAGGAGGCACTACTATGGTGGGCATGGCATATACATCTCGCACATAATGTTATATTAAGGGTCTCGGGTACATCAGGCCAGGCATTGGAACAGACTGTGAGACGAAGGGGCTTGTATACTATACAGGAGAAGCCTATAATCGGATAAACCAAGAATAAAGCTACCGCAACGATTCTTTGTTCCTGCAGTGATAATCGATGTAGTCTTGCTTTTGGTCTGTATTGATACTAGAGTAGATATCTCGATGGTTCCTACATACGCCGTCAACCCTGGTAGTCGGAGCAGTGCAGTATGGACTAAGTGATGAATAGAGCGCCATATATTGGTTTGAAATAGTCGAGTCTCGCTAAAAACCACCAAGAAAATCCTCTGCTGCCGTGATTCTTCATTGTCAGTCGGAGGGGCACGAGACCACCACTCTGCCACCTCGGACAACAAACCTCGACTTTGCCACCGTCTCTGCTTCTCTTTTTAGGTCCAATGCGACCATTCCGCCAGCCATCTTCCCGGTTCTTTCTTTTCCCCTCCTTTTTCATACTCCCCCTACGCAGTAGCCTTCTTCTTCTTCGCCTTGGCCTTCGACTTCTTCTTGTCCCTAGGCTTGAGCGCCCCCATCCCCGCCTTGCAGACGTCGGCGTAGCGCGCGTAAAAGGCCTCGAGCTCGTGCGGTTCGACGACGGTGGAGAGCTTGTCCTTGTCGGAGCGGTCGCGCTTGGACTTGCCGTTTGTGGCGCGGACGATGATGGGGAGGGGCTTGTTGGGGAGGAGGTCGGGGAAGAGCTTTGCCATTGTGGACTTTTCGGAGGGGTCGTATGTGACTGTTTTTTGTGAGAAGTTTGAAACCCATTTTGATCACGGGAGAATTGGGTGACATCTTACGGCGTTTCTGGGTTAGGTATATGGCGCCATGGTCGCTGCCTTTTCTGTGGTTGAACAGATGGCCGAGCTTGTCGAAGAACTGGACATGCGCGAGTTAGCCAATGCCACACACAAGCAGTGCGGAAATGGAGTGAAGAGGAGGAGAAGGGGTACTGACCTCGTCCTGGCTGAGGTGCGCTGAAGCCATCTCGGGCGAGGGAGGGAGGAGCGGGAGGTTTGCTGGCGGAAGACTGGGCGACGAACGTTGGAAGTGGGATGTCGATGTCGCTAGCTTGGAGAAGGATAATCTGGAGTAGATAACGATAAGGATTTGGTGCGGTTTTAGTGGATGTGCAGGTACAACGTATTGCAGAGAAGGATATTGAATTGACTTGCGCTACCTATAATTTGCCTGCCTGCGTATAAATAAACTTATGATTAAGAATAATTATTAATTACTGGGTCATAGTTTCATTATAGAATGGCATTCTATGATGTCTTTGACTGTTTGAATGGCAATCACCGTGTCTTCTTGTAACTCTCCATGTATATGTTAAATGCCTGTTATAGCAGTCCTACAGCGCCATTCAATCCAATTCAATGCCATCAATTCTGCTCTGGATTCAAAACTAGCTAAAGTACTTCAACTCGTTCAATGGGGTTGCATTCAAATAGTTCGGGTTAGATAATCAAATCTGGCTGCGAAATCGGCAAGCAATAGTCTACATGGCCATTAATTCGGCTCAATGCTATCCTAATACTGTAGCACTTCCAATAGGCTGTGGCGCATCTGCTTTCGTGCCTATGCCTGCTGTGTGGGTGCTGTGCTAATGCAGCATCGCCCCTGTAAGCCTGGCTAGTTCCCTGGCCCATGCTAACATGGAAAGGACAGCATACCCTCTTTTTTCCCTTGCCAGGCTCCATTCGTTGAAGCGTTATAACTTCCCTTTCCGCGCTCCCCACATGTGCCACACCTGATCGAGACACGAATATATAGATGCGTCTATCTTGACACGTCTCACTCTTGCGACTGCACTCATCTGTTCAAGTCGCTCTTACCAGCTTCGTTGTGTCCATTGTTTGGCGACACAGGTTTCGTGCTCAATCTCCCTCTTAGTATCTAGCCTCGATCACGATCACCACCGTCGCAAAGATGCGCCTTTGCCTGCCAAACCTGCTTGTGACGGCTGCACTTATATCGGCCGGCGCCGTGTTGGCGCAAGACATTCCCACCGATGTGCCCGTATCAGTTCTCCTGACTTCAGCCCAGGAGCATCTCACAAAGGGCGAGACTAACGAGGCCTTGGCCTATTTCGATGCGGCCATCGCTCGAGATCCGACCAACTACCTGTCATTCTTCAAGCGGGCCACCACGTACCTGTCACTCGGTCGCGCAAACCTCGCAACTGAAGATTTCAACAAGGTGCTCTCGCTGAAACCCGGGTTTTCAGGCGCCCACGTTCAGCTTGCCAAAATCAAGGCCAAGGCTGCCGAATGGGACGGCGCAAGAGCTGACTACGCCGCGGCCGGCGAAGGGTCTGACTCGCCCGACGTCCAGAGTCTGACGGCGGCGGAGGAGTCGATGAAGCTGGCCTTTGCTGCCGAAAAAGAGGGTAAATGGGAGGAATGCGTCAACCACGCAGGGGACGCCATCGTTACCGCCTCCAGGTACATCCCGTTGCGCGAGACGCGATCCCACTGTCGCTTTGAGCGAGGCGAGTTGGAAGAAGCCATTGGCGATCTTCGCCACGTGCTGCAGATGCGCCCTGGAGACATCTCCCCCCACGTCGTCATCTCGGCTGTTTCGTTCTACAATCTCGCAGATCTCGACGCTGGCGTCGGCCAGATCCGAAAGTGTCTCCATTCCGATCCAGACTCTAAAGTCTGCAAAAAGCTACACAAGCAGCAAAAGGCCATTACCAAGGCATTTACCAAAGTAAATGGTCAATTGAGCAAGGGACAGTATACAACGGCGAGCAGAGGGTTGGTTGGGACAGAAGAAGACACTGGGCTCCTCCAGACCGTCAAAGAACAGGTCGATGAGCTACGCCAGGATGGAAGAATACCCGCCCAAGGGAGAGTGTTACTGTACGAACAGCTGGTTGAGATGGTTTGCCAGGCCTACGTTGAGGTAAGTTGCATGATATGCCTACGGCGGCTACCAAGTCTCAAGCTAACGACAATGTGTCACAGTCAACAAGCAAGCATGCCGATAGGTATTGCGACGAGGCAGTTCAACTAAATGAAGATTCATTCTGGGGCCAGCTGCATCGCGCCAAAACATTACTCAAGAAAGAAGAGTTCGAGGCGGCTATTCAGACGCTAGAAAACGCAGCCAACGCGCACCCAGACAAGAGAGACAAGATCAACCCACTTCTTAACAAGGCACAGATTGAACTCAAGCGGAGCAAGACAAAGGACTACTACAAGGTGCTTGGCGTTGCCCACGATGCTGATGAGAGACAGATCAAATCAGCATACCGCAAGGCGTCCAAGCAGTTCCACCCAGACAAGGCCGTGAAGTCGGGCATGAGCAAAGAGGAGGCCGAGAAGAAGATGGCGGGTATTAATGAGGCGTACGAGGTGCTGAGCGACCCCGAACTGCGCGCCCGGTTTGACAGAGGAGACGACCCCAACAACCAAGAGAGAGGAAACCCATTCCAAGGATCACCGTTTGGAGGCCAGCACTGGGCGTTCCAGCAGCCAGGCGGCGGCGGTGGGCAGCAGTTCAAGTTTCAGTTTAACAACGGACCGTTTGGATTCTAAAGCAGCAGCGGAGTTTTTTTGTCTTTTTGTTTCCCTTTTATTTTTATTTTACAGAGATGGATAGATAGATCCCCGTCATCATCGTCATCGTCATCACCACCAATGCGTAGCGTTCACCCATGCCAAATACATACCTTAGGTACAATAGATGCAATACACACACTTGCATTCATTCAAAGAAACAAAATAGATAAAATTCAACCTAAGTATACAACAAAAATGACTAACTCAGCCCAGCCTATACCCTTTTTTCACATGCATCGGCGAGGCCCCGGGTTGAAAATGCTCACATCAACTGTATCATTGTATATCCCGGGATTACTCCGCTGCTTGAGCTACTTGCCAAGGTGGGGCTTCGCACACCTCGCAATTGCCTCCCGGACTCCGAGGCCGTCAACGGAGAAGAGGTGGGAAATTTTTATAGACCGGATTACTGGGGATCCGCTTCTGGATATCTAGACTGTGCCGGCCGCGATCAAACATCTCAGAAAAAGCACGCCCTCTCTCTCTTCGACCTGCCCGCAAGTTGCCTCCAATGCTCTCGAGCTGCCATTGATCCGCCTGCGCTTGTGCTTCAGCTTCAGCTTCTCTGCTTGCGACCGAACTCCTCGCTCTCGACGGGACACAATCAACTCAGCTCCAGCATCTCTCATCTCTCTCTCGCCTTTCTAGCCGCGGCTGCTTCGCCCGCACTCACGCACGCACGCTTTTAGTTGCGAATCCTCAGCGCCGACCGCCCGACCGACCGCCAGCCTCTCTCTCTCTTCCGCCCTCGACGAATCCCTCGACAGTAATAAACGCTTGGCCGTCGTGCTGCCTCAGCACGCTTCATCTGCCAACCTGGCTGCCATCAATTCAAAGACTTTTGGCGCAGCTTCTGACGCTGTGGCCGAGATGGCCCAGCCGCCAAGTGGCAAGCCTGTGGAGGAGGATGAGGAGTACGAGTGAGCAACCACCAACCATGTCCTTGGCGATGCTTAGTCTTTTGTGATATTTTTCTTTTGCTTTTTTCTTTTTTTCTTGTGTGCGCTCGCAATGCGCGACAAAGTTTAAAATCAAGAGGGAGAAAGAAGAAGCCGAGTTCGTGAACAATTTTGTACTGACTGTTTCTGCGCTTAGCTATGAATCCCTTCCACCAAACTTCTCGCTACTGCAGAACATGGCTGCAGGAGCATTTGCTGGGATTGCTGTGAGTGACTGATCGACTTGCTGCCAGCCCGCCCTGGACATGTGCTGACGACAAATATCACAGGAACACACCGTCATGTACCCCATTGATGCGATAAAGGTAATGCCTTCTTGCCGAAAGCCTCTTCTTCTTCCTTCAACCTCTAGTACTGACGCGGAACTTTGCGACGATAGACCCGAATGCAAGTGCTACAACCCCATGGGACGATAACACACAACAGCGTTCTGCGGAATGCTTTCCAAATCGCGCGGACCGAGGGTGTTTTCAGCTTATGGCGCGGCATGTCTAGCGTTATTGTGGGAGCCGGTATGTTTCCCCCATGTTTGCGATGCTGCCGCAATTCTTTCTTTTTTTTGTCTCTTCTCTTCTTCTTCTTTTCCTTGTAACTAACTCGGTTCTTGCTTAGGTCCTGCCCACGCTGTTTACTTTGCGACCTACGAAGCCGTCAAACATGCCATGGGCGGTAATCAAGTCGGCGTCCACCACCCTCTTGCTGCCGGTGAGCTTCGCTTTTACTCAAATCCCCAAGTGTACCCTGTCCATAGCTAACTCAGCACCTTATAGCCACAAGCGGTGCCGCAGCTACAATCGCCAGCGATGCTTTCATGAACCCATTCGATGGTATGTCGTCGTGCTTTTTACCCTAGGTCTATAGAAGTGAGCGTGAATGCTAACGTCAACTCCCCTCCAGTCATCAAGCAGCGTATGCAGATGCAAGAGTCTCGAAAGATGTATCGCTCCATGGTCGACTGCGCCAAGTACGTCTACCGAAACGAGGGCCTCGGCGCCTTCTACATCTCTTACCCGACCACACTGTCCATGACCGTTCCCTTCACGGCCCTGCAGTTCCTCGCCTACGAATCCATCTCCACCACCATGAACCCGCAGAAGGCATACGACCCCGTCACGCACTGTCTCGCCGGAGCCATTGCCGGTGGCTTTGCCGCTGGTCTCACCACCCCCATGGATGTCATCAAGACTATCCTACAAACAAGAGGCACGTCCTCGGATCCGCAAGTTCGGAATGTTAGCGGCTTCTTGGACGGCTGCAAGCTGCTGTATAGAAGGGAGGGCTTCAGAGGCTTCTTCAAGGGAGTCAGGCCCAGGGTTGTCACAACAATGCCCAGCACGGCTATTTGCTGGTCTGCTTATGAATTTTCCAAGTAAGTTGAGCTCTCTCTCTCTGTCATTCTCGAAAATGGTATCAGGTATACTAACATTGGCTTGCTTTTGCAGAGCGTACTTCATTAAAAGAAACGATGGCTTGTAAAGAATATTTTTTTTTTGCAATATATAGTAATTATAGAGATTATACAGAGCAATAAGCTATAAGCTATAATTACTCATTTCTAATCCACAAAAAAAAAGGTAGTAAATAGATCATGGTCAAATACATTCTGTGTAAAGCAATCAGGAAGGTTTATTGGGTATGAAATAAGATGGAAAACAGATAGGCTATTTTGTTATTTAAATGCCAGGTTTGCAGTCCAAATCCAATCCAGAGTTATTGTCAAAATTCAGTCGCGGGATTAGACAGCCAGCACCCCAAGTTGGCTATACAATAGACCCCGTATCACGATGTCTAAGAGAGTAGCGACAGTAGCAGAAACTTGAAGGATCAAGCAATGTGAGAGAAACGCTCGACTATCAAGCACGAAAGAAAGCAAGGTCTAATTATTATCCCCTAATGCCAATTTATTCCCAATATGCAGTCGCTATAACTCCTTTAAATTACTCCTCCTCCGCGACGATGCGGCTGTGTTTGCCGAAACTGATTAATCAATCCAAGAACACCAACATCCGGCTCTTTCGCGTGGGCTATGCTGCTGTTTTCCTTACTGATGCCCGGTGACGTCTGCCACATAGATTCCCCAAGCATAGCGCCTGCTTCAGAGCTCTCCCCTCCTTGCCCCTCTGCAGCATCAGCCTCAAAGGGCTCCTCGGGGATTTGGACCGCAGGATGAGGATGTGTACCGCGTGACGGACGCGGTTTATATGGCCCTCTGCCTGCCACATTTGCAATCGAAGGCTGGTGGCGGGCATCCAATAGCATGGATGCCATAGGGGATGGCTGCGTAATGCTATGCCCGCCTCTCGGGAATGCACCCAGCCCAGCTGTCCGGCTCCTGTTTCTTCCTGTTTCCATATGAGAGCCTTGCATATCGGCTGCCAGAGTGGGCGAATTCAGATTGGGAAACGCAGGGGGAGGATGGAATGGCTGCTGTGTCCCTGGAGGCAGGTGTCCAGGGATACCAGTCTTCGGGTTGATAACATAGTTATCAAGAAAACCATAATAAGACGCAGCCATCTTTCCATGTTTTGTTGCATAATAATCCTGGCGGACATCTTTGGCTACTCCCTGACGAGCGACGGGCTGGCCGGGTCCCCTTTTGAAGTCAAATTCGGCAAACGAGCAGACGTAGCCCATACCATCGACATGCACCGTAAACTCCCGAAAGAAATCCACAATCTGGTCACTGCACTTAGGTAGTGACAGCAGTAGCAACAGGGGAGTAGTTATGATGCCTAGGATCTCTTCCAGAAAGATGACAACTTTCATCTTGTAAAGCTCCGAAAACTCCTGTTTAACTTCAAAGCTGTGCAGTCTTCCCTGCCAATGATCAGGCATATAGTGAGTATACTCAACAACGTTCCTCAAAGCATACTCTGGATCAAACACTTGCGTCTCTTCCGACACCATTCCACGGGTGATGGCCCAGATTCCTCCAAATATTCCCAGGTAAAACAAGGCGGTGCGGTCTTTTGTGATTTCAAATGATAGGAACAGTTCCGAGTCGAGTAAAGTGCAAACTGCAAGAATGGCTGTAAGTGCGCCAGACATAAAGGCAATACTCTTTGCGATATCTTCTGTCATGCGTTTGGGAAACTGGTCAATGTATCGGGTTGCGAACGGGAAGGACATATGAAGTCTTTCGTAAAAGAGATGAGGAAGCTCGTTGAACTCGCGAAATTTCCACTCAGCAAGCGCGGTGTACTTGCGTGCCGCAGCTAGCTTGGGGTCCTTTTGATACTCATTGTAATACGTGAAGAAATAGACGATGATGACGTATGCGAGGACAATGGGGGCAAAGATGAGATTCAGCAACCCGGCAAAGTAAAATCGCTGCTTCAACTTTTGACTCAAGACTCCTCTTCGTTCGGCACGTAAGAAATCTTGCTGTACTTGACCGAGTTCGTTGAATGCCATATCAAGGATGCAGTAGTGGAGATACCACTCCATGGTCTTTGAAAACATCTGACGACCTCGCAAAAACGGAAACGGAAGCGACAAATTTAGTATATCCTTGTTGATCATGGCGATGAGGTAGTTCTCCTTGCGCATCAGTCGATTGGCGATGTCGTGAGCATCGAGACGCTCCTTCGACTGACTGCCAATGAAACGTCGTAAGTTTTGTGGCATATTGGCCGCTGTTCTAGGATTCTGGTCTCGTAAAGCCATAATTCGACCAACAACGTCTTGCCAGGATATCGTCTGCATGTCTTGTTCGGGGATATCAAGAAGAACAACGAAAAATTCGCGGATATGTAGTAGACGGCGAATTTCGAAGAAATATTGCACGGATTTCCATATGAAGAAGAATGAGTAAAGCCAGATGCCAAAATTCCATAGGCCAGACATCTTCTGAGTGCACTGAGGTACGACGACCTGCTTCAATGACTGACTGTGCGGCACCTTGCTGTAATCGACACATTGCGTCAGAAATGTGAGCAGGACAGCGACGAATAAAGTTTCTCTGCATCTTCATGTTAGCTCTACCATTCGATTTCAACCATTTTGAGAGGGGAGGGAGAGAACGTAGCTCCCTCCCTCCAGCCCCCTCGAACGCACTTACAATAGTCTCAAGGCATTTGAACACATAATAGCCCACATTCCGTCGCCCTCATAGTAATTGTAGACATCTCTCATGAAGCTATCGAGATTCGTAATGTTTGCCCATCTCCACAGAGCAGCATTCTTACGGTCGAAGGACGGCCCCGCGTTCAGTAGAGATCCGAA